TTGCTATTTCCGACATCCTACCTGTGTGAGGCGGGGTGGGGGGATTATGCAGCAACGGCGACGAAAACAAAATTACGAAGTAGACTGGACATAAACCACACACTTGAGGTGTCATTGTTTCCTATTACCCCGAGATGGGCCGTCTGGTTGCAGAAAATCAAGCTCGGGGCTGTGGTGAGTGGTCATTTTCATGCACTTTGAATTTGTGTTGTATCGTATTTTGAAGGCATTAAACATTGCCATAGCGATTGGAGTGTTGCGGCCAGATTAGACGCTCCTTGTGTTTATTATTATATTTCGAAAACACCACAGTTTTCATGCAGCTCATACCATATTATTTTGTTGTATTATTTCCGCCACACCTTAAATGCCGGTCCCTGAAAATATTGTCTGACATAAACCGGTCCGTGGGGCAAAAAAGGTTGGGGACCCCTGACATAAAGACAAGACAGTATATACTCCACACACATTGGACACGACATTCCAGTCATATGCACCCCCACCGCCCTCATGTCCTCCTGCTTGTCTGTCTGCCTCCCTCTAATTGTTTATTGATTAAGATGATAGCCTGCGGTATGAGTTTTTATACCGGTTTAATTTGCAGAGAAGAGTCCTATACCTCTTTCCTGAGTTTAGGAGCTCAAATTGGGAGTGTAGCACATGAGAAGGATTGTTTAAAATGTTGTTTGCCTGTTGAATAACGGACTGCACATATATGTCCTGGTGAGCAGGGGGTGGGGGCTGCCTGATTACCTTCCCTGCTGTCTTAACCAAGCTGATTATCTGAACCTTAGATTGAACAGTTAGGTTCCCAAACCTATAAAGATCTACAGAATGTTTCTGCCAACTCAAAATATCCTGAGACGTCGCAAAAAATGAAGGCGCTGATCTCAAACTAGCATGTATGGTAGGTCCAATATGTAGTCTTCACAAGCAAAACTCAAATATGAAACGTGGGTAGAGATTCAGCGTTGTATGTAGTTTGTATCATCAACATTATCCTACACGCTTGGGACAGTGGGCTGGCCAGGAAGCTCGAGTTCTGCTTGATAAATGGATGGTCTGTCAAAGACAGAATCTTCTTTGATTGACAGTGAAACAAGCAAATCACCTATCTAAAAGAATTTACCTCCACCAGAGTATTTTCCAACTTTTTCATGCTGTTGTTCTGAACTAATCCGAAGACTTTACTGATCCCCGGCGACTTCATCTTTGTTAAAAATGACTAGCATTGTATTTGCCGACTCTCTTCTGTCAATCTTCCCCCCCCCCCACCCCCCACAACGAGCGGCGGCAGCTGTGCACTTCCTACCACCGTGACGATCACTCACACTCACAGTCGATCACACAGTAGCCTCATGCTGCAGCTCCACATGCTAGCAAGCTGCACATCATCAAAATGAACTTGCCCTCCTTGAATGATCAGTAGCTGCCGCTGGCTTTGACGTCTTTCATTTATTACCAAACCAATTCATCACAACACTTCAATATGTTTTCAAGAAAGTGAAGATGAGGCTTCGTAAAGCACTTTAGACAAGATATGGTGTAGATTTACCATTTAAGATTATGATCAAGTTGGATTTTTGATTTTTTTATATGACGTGTTTGTTTTGGGCAAAAGTACAATCAACAACTCATTTAAATTGATGTTGTACTTGCTGCTGAAACAGTCAACGACAAGCGAATGTGGATTTTGGGAGCAAATTTGACCTATACGTGACACCTTTTGGTTGAAATGGTGTCCTGCTGGTTGGGCACTTTAAATTGCACATCAATGATTTCGTTAGTTACTGAGCAGTATTAAGCAAAATCGACACTAACTTCATAAAATTTATGAGACGTGTTTAACATGAACTCCCTTTTCCATCAAGATTCTATGACGAGGGATTGAAGTTGATCGGACCGAGTGCAAGTCTTTATTTTAGTCAGAGGCCTTCAGACAATAATCAAGCTGACAAAAATCCAAACAGCATCATAAACAAAAACGAATGGGGTACATGCAGACAGATGTGCGATGGTTTATACATGAACCAATAAATAGTGACACCTGCTGCCTTGTGAGAAATGTTTGTGTTGGTGCAAAATGGTGGCTGAAGTTCGCAGAGCACACGGCATTGCAGATGTTTCCGATAATTACAGCCATTGTGGTTCCAGATTGCCTGATATGTTCACAATAACCTTGAAACACTCCGACTTAAAAAGTGCACGCCAGACAAACAACATTGTTAAACAACTGAAGAGTGTGTGTCCTACCTCAGGGCTGTGGTTCGGACTTTGGGCTTGCCGGATACCTGTAGGCAAATGCAGACACATATGTTAAAATGTTCTGCATGTTTTGTACCAGGTCAAAATTACAATGCATCGATTTACCAATGTGAAGAATGACATCGTTTATGAAACTGTTCATGAGGCAGCATATTTTCCCGTTCGCACTAAAGTCAATTGAGCAAACATGTCGTTCTTGGGCACTTTCAGGATGCGACAATTCTCCAATACAGGCGTCTGACACACCCACCATGTGCAGCTCAAAAATTTGTGTGCAACCACCAAATAGGAGTGATTCAGTGAAATCTAAGGTTGGCCCTGATTTCCGTGTCATGGAGTTTTCATGAGACATGGGAATTCCAGAAATCCATTTTGAAAATATATCACACTTTAATTGTGAAATTATCTTGCCTCGTGTATTCGGAAATTATCGCCAGTGACGTGTGGCTAAATTCAAGGCAGTGTTTTTTTTTTTTTTAATTCACCTTTTAATGAATCCAATACAAGCAATTGAACAAGAATACTGTGCTCGTGATGAAATGTTTAGGAGAAGGTGAAAATTGAGTGTTGAACAGGTTGCCAAGCAACACACTGCGTGCGCATGGCACGAACAATCTAGAACTCGTGGCTCATTATTACGATGACTGTCTTGTTTGTGATCGCCCAGCATGTGGAAATGCTCCTCACAGGTGAAGTAATAAGTCATCTGATGCTGATTCTATTTTTCACAATTTAATATGATATCATCTCAACGTTCGGCTGTCATTTTATGTACTAGGGACACAGATACAGCCATTGGGCAGTCGGTGAGCATCTGTACGGGACAGGTGTGACCTCCCCATCGTCCCGTCCTCATGTCAGCACAAATCAGCCGTGTCGGACGGTGACAGTCATTACTCAATGTCAGCGGCTGTGAAATGACTCAAAACGACTCAAATATGATGGTTTGCCTTCGAGAGTCGCTAGCTCTTAGTTCAGCCTCCGGAGTGCGGAAGAAAAAGGACAAGCGCTTAAGTCTCGGGGAGAATGCGCGCACTGACAGATTTGTCAGGGTTACTCGCTGATTGCAAGTTCGCTCCACCCAAAGTGCGTACAGTCGAACCTCTACAACGTGCCCTGTTTCACAACGTTTTCACCGCTATGACGTTCACATTTCAAAGTCAAAATTTCACATAACTCATTTTCCCTTTTGCCGATATTGCTTACAACGAACACCTTCATAATATAAACTTCATCATCTCGACCAGATTGTCCACAAAATAGTGCAAAGGCCTTCGCTACAACGAACCGTGGGAAGCTAACTGCAGCGCGACCTTTCTTACGAACAAAATTTACAGCGCGGGATTCCCCTCTGTTGCTCAGCAACTTTACTGATCGACTCGTACATTGGTTTACTTCCAGAGGCACGGCGTGGTCCTGAGCACATGGTCTAAAAACATGTCTGGTAAACGGAAGCAAATCTCCCTGTCTGTGAAGGCTTAAATTGTCTCTCATTTTCCAAAGACGAAGCTCAGCCGAGACTACGAATTGGCAAAGTCAACCATTTTGAGACTTATGCATAATGGCAATAAAATCATGGCAGAGTTCGAGGCAAACAGATTGAAAGATGATCGTAAACGGTTTTGGGCACGGCACATCCTGAACTGGAGAAGGCACTTTTCATTTGCTTACTGAATGTTTTTAGATATGAAGTAGGAGCGCTGCAATGGTTTCATGTCTTATCAAATCATATTTTCTTCATACTGTATATACATATTTGTAATTGACATGTTTATACTGTATTACATGTTCATGTTTTTACATCTATAAATGTTTATACCTACAGTATGGTACACATCGAAGTTGACGGCCATTTTATTGGAAATGGTTACAATGAACTACCGTTACAACGTACAGATTCGTTCTGTCCCTTGAGGTTCGACTGTACAGTGAATGTGCCTAAGTGGCACACTGAAGGTGAGGGGAGAATCTGCACACCCAAAAAAGTGCGCAGCTGCAGGCCTTTTCTGAGGCACACGGGAGAGTATGTGTGTGTGTGTGTGTGTGTGTGTGTGTGTGTGTGTGTGTGTGTGTGTGTGTGTGTGTGTGTGCATTCACGTGCATGCTTGACTGAAACATTAACAATACACAAGAAGGTGAATGATGAAATACAGCGGTGTTAAACGCCGCAACACGTGTTAAAGTAATTTACAAAAAAATAAACAAACTATAAATGATCAATTCTAAATGAATATTGTTTACTTTGTACATACAACTGTCATTTAACTGCTTTTTGAAATATGAACACACTGAAATTTAGTCAGTACTATCAAGTAAATTAATAATATTAATAATGCAGGAATGGTCCACATAATTTGAGTGGAATAATGGAAATGAACAAATATTTCAGTTCTGCTTTTCCTCCATTCTGCCACATCGTCTCTATCAGTCAATTTTCTACATGGCTACTTCAGTTATAATAACCAAACAAAAATAGCGAATTCAGTTTTACATTGTATTCATTTTCATTTGTTAATGAAAATGAATTCCTTTGCAGCCCCCTTTTCTGTCTCTCAAGGAATGAGGTGATTAACGGCACCAGTGGGTTTTGTGGTTCTGATAGCTCCAAGTTGAGCTACAGTCTTGAATAATAAACCTTGTCAGCTCTGTGGCTCAGGGAGATTTGCAGGGTTCATGAAGAGGATCTGTGTGGGAATGTATCCCACGGGGGTTTAAAGAACAACACGGGCTGCAATTATTCACTTAAGCCACTAAACATGGCTGTGGCGTGGATGACAAGTCAGTCGACTGCAGATATTTGCTCTCAAGTGGCATAATTATGCTTCATGGCAGATTGGAATCAAAATCAAAATCCAATATGTATGGCTATTTGCTAAGGCAATTGCAGCTGAAATGCCTTCCGTGTATCAATGTGATCTTAATGTAATCTAAATACATTGATTACTGATGTTAGTGATACCTCCCTAAACAACACAAAAAACACCCATTGCAAATCTAAATTACAGCAAAAGCAAAGACACATATTCTGTAAATACTGTAGTGGTACATTAGGGTTGTTTCATGTGACCTGTCAATATAAACTCATATAAACATTAGAATAGAATTTTGCACTGGGACTGCAGTGTACATGTAAATCTACCTTTCGGCCTTCTCAGCCAACTCATTCAATGAGGATGTACTGCCGCGGTGCAATGTCGCAGCGCCACACCATGCGGCTTCGACAGAGACCACTGACCTTACAAGAGCCCGGATTTTTTGAAAAGTACACTCACTGCCTCCCATACATCAGAATATCCTGAAACAGGCTCTCTTTAACACCCACTCACTGAACAACAAAGCACTCATTTTACACAAATTTACAACTGACAATAACCTGGACTTCCTCTTCATCACCGAAACCTGGCATTAACACCTGGACTACTTTTCACTCAAACAAGCCACCGCCCCCAAATACACCTACATCAACCAGACCCGCCTCACTGGTCGAAATGGTTCGGGTGAGAATTTTTTTTTCCCATCAAGGTCTAGCTCTACTACCAAACTGTAATGTACATTACCTGGATTGATTACGAGAAAGCCTATGAAACGATGCCACACACATGGATATATTTGAGTGCCCGGGAACATCAACAGGATCGTAAAGAACTTTCATAAAGAACCCAATGAGACTGTGAAAGGCAACTCGTGAAGCTAATTCAAAGCCAGTTCTACACTTGAACATCAAACGTAGCATATTCCAAGGCGATGCTTTGTCCCCGTTGCTGTTCTGCATAGGCCTGAATGCTCTCAGTCAGATCATAACCAAGAGTGGCTTTGGGTGCCGGTTCAGAAGTGGAACAACGATCCACCACCTCCTCTACATTGAAGATGTCCATCCATAAGCTGAGAAAAGCATGATAATGAGTCCAATTTACTTCACAGAGACATACAACAATAGGATCAACATGTCTTTCAGACTAGGTAAGTGTGGGTGAATGATGCGAGAAGATGATCATAACTGAAAGACAGTACAGAGGCACTAATCATGGTAGCAAAAGTACAAGCCCTAAACACAAGATAGCTAGAGGCTGAGGTCTATCAAACAAGACGGGACTCCATGGGCAGGCTGTACACTGAAGCACATCAAAGCAGAGTGTAAGAAATCAGCAGAAAATCGGTACCAAATATGGACTGCAGGTTCTAAAATCAAAATGGCAGACACCACCAAAGTTGGATGAGAACAGCAAGGCGAGAGCTTTTGGGACTTCCAGATCCCGACTGACAAACTGATGATGGCCAACCCGACTTGACATAGTGGTGGTGGATAAAAATCATTAATAAATGAAATACAGTAGTTGTGATAGATGTAACCATACTGTGTGATAGCAATGGCAACAAAAGGAACACAGAAATGTATAGTTATACCAAGGACTGATGGAAGAACTAGAGAAAATGTGAATGGTGACCAGTAGTAACCGAGGGACAGGGAGCTGCAAACCCTAAGCTGTGTGGTTCGCTCCAGCAGATACCAGGAACACCATCCGACGTCTCCATCCAAAGGAACAGCTAAGATCTTGTGTCGAACCCTCAAGCCTCCAGGCCTCGGGTATATATTTCCACATTCTATTGAATGCCGATTCAATAGATGGTAGGTGGTACCCTCAAAGCATTTTAATCAGTATTGAATCAATTCAAGAGGTTCTTAACAATACCTAGCCTGAGTCATCATCACACTATATTCTTCCTTTTCTGGTGCCTTTGGTGGTGGCGCCACAACAAACATTTGTGGATCTAGTTTTGTGCTGAGTGCAAGTCTAGGGCGGTGAGCTGTCTAGTATTGTGCAGAGGAGCGTTCGAGCAAATGTTGGTGTTTTCACAGATGTGCACAAGCCTTTAAAAAAAAAAAATGTTTTGCTGCAACATAGGTGTGAACACAGCCGACTTGATTCGAGGCGGCTCCTCTCGCTGCCTTTAAATACGAAGCAAGAGAGTTGCTCTCATAGTCCTTGTCCATAGCGGAAAAATCTGACAGGAGGTTGAAGCGAGT